TCCATGAAGTAACGTCTTGGTTTAGTTTACAAAATGCGCCTACAGCCTGGGACATTAGGACGCGGTTTAGGTCAGCACGTTGATACACCCAACAACGATATTTAGATAGCGGATCCAAATCATCGTAAGTAATTAGGTATGACTTTAGATTTTCCTTCCAAAAGCCAATGCATTTCATACGGTAATCGGGATCACTGTATATATCAACAGGTCGTCCCAAATGATCGACAGACAAGCAATAGTTCTCATCGACGGCCAGCTCCTTTTGGTCTGTGTCACAGACTGATAAATCGGATATGTTCTGCTTGCAGTGGATATCTGGGCGAGGACTCAGTGTAACGCCACCAAGGATTCTGAAATAAGCTTTGAATTAGTCGCATTTCTTCAAATGGTATTCAATTATAAACTCACCTCGTCTTAAAGGGGTGTTCGCCCCTTTGTGTGAAATTAAACTTTCCAGCAACTGGACAACGGACAGGAACCGGGTTTTTCGCCAAGAACAAATCATATTTCCAGGCCTCTGAATTTGGAAATTGTACCCAGGAGCAAACTGTGCTGAAATCATCCTTAATAACAGCTAAGCCCTTACGATAACGTATGATATTGTGGTGCCTGGGCATAAAGTCAAAGCAAACGTAATCCTTTTGGCAACCATCGACAGTAAGACGCGCCATCATAACACGATTGCCACGACGTTCACGGCACACGTAAATTGTCTTCCGGTATCGAGCCCTATCAGGATAATATGTCTCATTGATGTGGGTTTCACTAATGGACACATCTGCATCAATGTTGGCCGTATTCACCCATTCGCCAGAAAAGTTCTGAGGCAGTGTGCAACCGGGCTCAACAAACTCAGCTTTCACTGGTGTTAGTTTAAGACGCTCGGGCGAGTTTTCCGGTGTCTTGAGAGTATTGCACTCAGCAGTAATGGAGACACCCACATACAGATCATCATCTCGATTCTTGAGGAAGCAACGGTATTTTTCATCCTTACGTGATTCTTTTGTATTGGCAACAGCAAAATAATGATTCTTTCCCACAAACCAATCGCCGAGGCAGCTGAACTCCACAGTTCCAGTAAACGTGCCCTCCATGCCCTCACACTTCTGATAAGTAATGTTAAATTTTTGATTCTGGATAAGAAATTGTGTGCCAGCAGTCTGGCATGATTGGATGCGTGCATCGGGCTTGTTACAGACGCCCGTAAAGCGGAATCGATTCTAAGAGCAGATTAAATTAAAATTAAAATTAATTAATTATAGAATAAAAGAAAAACTTGCCTGATATGTAAAATGCCAAACGCCCTCAAGAGACGAACGACAATTAATTGGCACAAAGTTTTCATTGAACAGAGTTATTAACTGCTGATCATCCTTAATTCCCTTGCAGACATTGTTCACTGTGGGCTCCTGGCCTGGTGGCAAACCGACACACGGCCCCTCAAACTTCTCAAAGATGTTGAGCGTACGTATTATTGTACGCACGCAATGATAGCAGTTGGCGGATCGTTCCTTAAACACAAACGAGTATTCATCGCCGTGATGTCGTTGGTAATTGATGCAGTAGCCACGCCTCGACATGGAGGTAGCATCGATGATCGTTTGGGTAGGCAAACCCACTTCCCATGAAAACCATGAACCCTGCAGTATTTTCGGTATAATGCAGTTGCGTTGCTCCAGCTCATTGTATTGTGCATGCCCTGTAATTAATAATTAGGCAGCGACTCTATTAGTAAATTCAATATGAATCACATTCAAGCCTCGCTTTGACACTTGGGTGTGGCTTGGCTGTGGCTGAAGTTGCTGTACGAACCTACGCTTAAAAGGCCTAAAAGGCACATAAATCCTAAATATTTATTCATTTTAAAACTTGTGAAGTATATTTAGTTATCTATAAACATTATATTAGTTAAACGCGACCACTACGCTAATCTCACAAACTAAAATTCAACACTGATTAAGGAAAGAAAACACGCAACAAACAAATTTCCAAATGCTTTGCGTGCACTTTACAGCACTATATTCTTAGTCTTACATTTTACAACACTTGCAACATTTTTGAACTAGTTCTAATTGATTTATTTACATATTCAGTTACAATTCAAATTGCAAGCTTGTGTCCAAAGATCAAAATTTAACTTGTCTTGACAAAACAGACAAGCTCCAGACATATTCTTAGATTACATTTGCAGTTAACCGCTTTATGTAGTAATAAATATGTCTGGCTGATTACAGAAATCACAACTTAGCAACAAATACAACCTATGCTCGTCTTTGAGAACACAATACAATTGTGCTAAAATTAACGCCGTCTGCTGCTTCTAATGTAAACAGACAGCTGCTATCTGTGGTAGTCCAATTGTCGCACGCCTAACGACCCGAACGCCCCCGCCAATCATGACTAACACACACAGCGCGAAATCCCTTTAAAGCGGACTTTAAGCTCTAGCATCGTTTTATTATGGATTCAGATAAACGAATATTTGGGCAATCGTAATGATTCATGCTTGCATTTATGGAGTCCCTAGTTTCAATGGGTGTATTGGAATCCGTTTCGATTGCACTTTGGAACTTATTTAACTTTCTACAAATGGCATGTTGTTGATAAGTGTAGAGTCTAGGTACACACTTCTCTAGGCGGATCGCGCCGTCCTTATCACTAGGCGGTAAAGGTCAATCTGTGCATGACGATCCACTCGTCATCCATAATGCCTATGAAGCGATCAATGCAAATTTGGCGCAGTCTTTACTTGTAGCTCATTTAAAAGGGAAGTGCGCTCTCCCAGTTGAAAACAATTAATCCAAGTACTTATTTCAAAAAGGAAACACTATTGTGGAACATTAGAAAATCTTAAACTCATATTCTTTCTCGTAATTAAATATTATAGGTAAGTAATATTTCCAAATATTTAATTATGTTTAAGATTGACAAGTGTTAAATATCATGAAACTACAGCCATGGTCACTGGATTACATATGGAGGCCATCGATCGCATCACATCAATTCCGTTGGTGGAGTCAAGCGTTAAACGCGTTGAGCACATCTATGACAAAGTCAAGAACAACAATCGCCTCTTCAGCTGGTACTTTGAGACGGCGGAGGCCACAATTAGTGCAGCCTACGAGACGGTCCAGCCGGCTGTTAAGCTATTCGAGATGCCCATCAAACGACTGGACAATGTGATGTGCAAAAGCCTAGACATATTGGAGCAGCGTATACCGCTTGTCTATCTGCCACCCGAAATGGTAAGTCCAGCTGGGACAGCATATATGTCAATGTGACTTGAGATTCGCTCACATAGGCAATTATTTTGTGCTTAAAGATGTATTGGAATACCAAAGAGTACATGTCGGATCATCTGGTGCGACCTGTGCTCAAACGTGCGGATTCCGTTAAACAAATTGGCAATGCGGTGCTCGAAAGTCCTCTAACAACCTATGCAGCAGATCGCATCGATGGAGCCTTTACAGCAGGCGACAAATTCGTCGACAAATACCTAGTTCCCATCTCCACCGACCAGGATCAGTCAGATGGTGAGTGAGATCTTAATGATGATGCCATTCCGTTCGTCTCTTTTTTTTTTAAATGTGTTGTCTCATTTAAAAAAAAAAAAAATACGTGGGTCACCGAGGTTATCAGTCGATGCTCCATATGAATATTGAATCTCATTTTGGCGATTGCCTAAGCGACGACCACAAAAACGTATTATGTATATACATGTATATAAGTCGGACAATAACACGCGGCTTTGTTGTGGTTCAACATTACCAAAGAAAAAAAAACAAACGTATATAAATCCATATATATAAATATATTTAAAAACTTTAACGCACTGCAGCGCCTCAAGACGATGATAACGAACCAACGGGCGCAGTGTCGAACGAGAGAGGCGCGATTAAGGCAATTCATCACGGTCAACGCTTCTCACGCAAACTCACACGCAGACTTACCCAAAGAACTTTTGCCGAGGCACGAGCCCTTAAAAAACAAAGCAAAGAAGCGATCCATGTGCTTATCTACGCGGCCGAATTGGTAAGTGGAAAAATCGTGTTGAGTGCACGAGCAATACGCGTGCACGAGTGCATCGTTAATACAGTGTTAAAAATATATCTATACAGCAATATCGCACAAATGAAACAGACAATTATTATAAACTTTGTTTTTACTGAATAATGTTGAATATGGATAAAAAAAAAAAAAAATAAATAAATAAAAAAAATTTTAAGCTGCTTAACTGATAAAGGAATCTTAGTACAGATTCTCATATATAATACATATGTACATGTGGTATATTTAAATTATCCATAGATTGCCACCGATCCGAAGCTGGCTATGCAAAAGGCAAAGGAACTATGGGGATATCTAAGTGCTGACGAGCCGGAGAATCAAGCTAGGCCTGTCACATTGGAGCAGTTGATCGTGTTGTTGACTCGGGAGTCAGCCAGACGCGTTGTGCACTTTGTCAATTATACCGCGAATGTTGCCAACAATTTACCCAAGTGAGGACTAAATAGTGTTTTTTTTTTTAAGACGGATCTAATAAATAATTGTGATTCTAGACATTTGGCACACACCACCCACGAAGTTGTACATCAGATAATATGCATTAACAATCGCATAATAACTATAACGCGCTTGGATAAGGTCAAGAGTATATCAAAAGAAGAGGCCGAATCTCTAATTAAACGTATGATCGCTTTCTATAGTAACCTGCAGGTACTATCGAATGGCTATCTGGTAAATACATTTGATATTAATTTACTTCTATATTCTTCAACTGAACCTCTTTATAGGAACGGGTCGCAAGCTTTTTGTCTGGACGCATTGAAGCTGAAAAGGTGACGGGTAGTGAGAGCAACGCAGTTAGCCGATCCTCAAGAAGACAAGAGACAAATAATTTCTCTCCCGCTCAAAATAATATAAATGGGGTTTATTGAGAAGCGGAGTTTTTCATTGCTGTCGTATTTTTATTTCTAATCATAGAGTTTTGCTTCTGCTTTCATTTTCGTACTAATTAATCAGATTTATTTCTTTATTTTCGTCTTAACGTTCATATATATATTATAACATAAAATTCATTTGAATAAATGCTCCTTATAGTATTTCAATTCTTGTATGCTCTCCTTAATATCTTCGTCACTGCGGTGAGCGAGCTGTTTGCGTGGAGCTCTTGCAATAATCTGGGGATTCCATCGAGTCGCCAGCTCCTTAATAGTAGAAACGTCTATGATACGATAGTGCAAATACTCATTTACAAGTGGGAAATATTTTTGTATAAAGAAACGGTCCACATAGACGGAGTTGCCAGCCAAAGGGCATTTACGCTCTGGTATGTTTGCCTTCAGATATGTAAGAATCAGATTCTCCGCCTGATCAGGCGTCACCTCTGAGCTCCTACACCTGTCCACCAGGCCGGATTCGTTGTGATGCTTTATGCACCATTCGTTCATGTTCTCATAAACATTCTCTGGATGTTTTATTGTAAAACAAGGTCCTTCAGATTTAATATTCAAAAGTTTGTCCGTTATAATACACGAAACTTCCAATATCACATCTTTATCTAAATTCAGTCCTGTCATTTCCAAGTCCATCCAAACAATATCCGATGGCTCGCCAACTAATTTCCTACACGTGCTCATTTTGTTCATTTGTTTATTGTATAACCTTGAAGTATGTTTACTGAGTATTGTAAACAGCCGATTCAATTTAAATATCATTGAAATTCGAATATTTTATTTGAGCAATCTTACTATGTTTCGCGCTGCGCTTTGGCACTTTATGCAAGCACTGGAACATTTAATTCTGGTCTTAACACAAACCGCCTTATACATACATATGTGCATATGTACATACGAATATTCTAAAGTAGGGAAACTTTTAACAGAAACAGCTGTTTTGTGGTCATTAAATTGAGGTGTGATAGAATATAATTGTTATTATATATAATTTACAAATTATGTTAAGCTTTCATTCCGTATACATATGTTGCTTATAATAGAGTTAGTAATAAATTAATACATTTTTCATATGCATACATACATATTTATATTTGTGTATATATAGTGGTTTAACATTAACATTCTTACAGCATTATACAGCACGATTGAGTGATAGTAGGTTATGCAAAGCGAACAGCTGATTTGACAGCGTGACGTCATTATTTCAGAAAATGGTGGGCGCGCGTTTGAATTTGTATGAAAATCAAGCAACTTTGACACTGTTATTTGTCTTAAAACTAGTAGACTAAATAAAACGAGTTGGGCGGCTAATCAAATGTTCTATATAGATTCACGAATCGGAAAATATAAAGGTTTTTGCTAATTTTTATACTCTAAATTGTTTTCTAAGCAGTTATTGATCATGCAATCCCTTGACCACTTTTACTCTTGCATATAATGGACTTAACCTTACTATCTAAGGCTTGAATTTGTAAAGCTAAAAAGTTACTACTAAGTATTATGCATTTCCCATCAATCCGCATAATCATACGTACTAATTTCATTCTTTATATTACAAATCCGATGGCCATAGATGATACGCAGCATTGTTAGCTTCTGTCTAAGTTTTAAGAGCTGATTCAGGAGGATTATGTGTTTCCTTAGGTTTCAATACTTATAATCATACAAGTTTACGACTTGGCAATTAATACACAAATATTAGTTCATTCTACCGGATGTTTCTGACATGACAGCAGGGGTGAGCAGCACCTTTATTGATGCAGCTTCAACGTGTACTATATTTAAATGTGTAGGTAAATTGGCATAAATAAACAATACTGATGGCGAAAACCCAGTTAACTATGTCCATCAACCATTCCTGCTGACTTATTGGCCATTTTTGCTGCATTCGAGAGGCCTCCCAGTTCATTCCATTATATACTTAATTTCTTTATTGTATGGTAATAAAATTAGTGATTGACCATTTTTAAGGTATTTACTATTGAAATTTTTTATATATATTTAGTTTTGGTTGTTTTGGACGACTTAGTCGATCTCTGCTGAAATGCCTTCCAAGCTTCAGCCGGGATAACATAGCAAAATCTGATAATGTGACGTCACAAGAGAGCTGTTAGTTAACATGCCGTTATTTTTATTTTCGTTAATTCAATTCTTAAAAGCCTTTTAAATAAATGCTTTCTTAGTTTTTTTTTTTCTATTGAGTGGTTTACTTAACAATATAATTAACAGAACTTAAAACTATATCAATTTTCGTAGTCTTGTGATTAAAAAATAATAATATAATATAATTTTTGTAAAGTGCCTCCAGCAAAAGCTTGTCTTTGTTGTTTTTCTAGAATAAATACATTTGTAATTGCAAATAACTATATTTATATATATTTTCAACAATTTACTTACTTTGGCATTGCAAACACAGGGTAAAAAAATAAAACAAATTCGCGAATTTTTCTATGTGGCAGTGTATCCATATGTTCTGCAATGTTGTGAAATTTAACGCCCGATGTTCTGTCATCGCTTAACATCGGTATCAATAAAAACATCGGAAAACATCGCCAAAAAAACATCGATTGTCGATGCATCGATGTTTTTTCACATCACTAGACTTGCCTTGTCGCTTAATCGAGAGTGCAGTTACATTTCAGAGTCCAACGTGAGGGGACGTGTACGGTGTTATCCAAAATTTGTTAAAAAGCGTTAGTGTTAATGGGCATTTGAATAAACAAAACAACAATTAGTATACGCGAACTGCTCCAAATTCCAATAGTGAAAATTACAAACTAACACAGCCAAGCATTAATAATTCCACCCTCTGTTTGTCAAATATTTATACACACCACCAACGCCCCCTGCCCCTGGCCGTTCGTGAGTGTGGCGCCAACGTACATATGTAAAAGCATTCGACGTTGCGTCCGATAAGAACAGCAACAACTACAGCTACAGCCACAACAACAACAATTATTGTAAGTATATTTCTATGCTGTTGCTTTTGTAATGTTGTCCTTAGTGCGTACATTTCCTATTTCTATTGATTTTTGAACGCTCTCGGTTAACCCTCAACTTTGGCCCTTTGTTTTTGTCGTGTTTTGTTTTGTGTCTTGCTCCACTTTGCGTCGTCTGTGACTGCCTGTGTGTGTGTGTGTGTGTGTGTGTGTGTGTTTGTTTTCGTTGCTTTTGTCATTCAACTTGGCCGATGTCTTCATTGTTATTACTGTAGTTATTTTTTTGTTTTTTTGTTTCTCATGTGCTTTTATTCTCTGCTTCTCTGATTCACCTGCTGTTTGCTCCACGGGCAGCTGCAAAATCTCAGCTGCTACTGCGACGACAACAACAACAACAGCAGCAGCAATAGCATCAAAGGCAGAGCTTTCATTGTTGTTGCAATAACCGGTTTGCGATTTCATTATGAAAAGCGTGTTAACTTTTATCATTGTCCAATTGCACATGTTGTTAAATTGCGTCTAACCAATTGGAGCTCCAGTGCCAAATTGTTTTTAATTGCACCTAATTTTCTCCTATAGGTGCAAATTGGTCAGTTTTTCTCGCTATCGTGTCACCTTTTTCTTATGTTTTCACGCTTGTCAGGAAATATTTTGAGCCATTTTTGAAGAAAAAAACTAAACGTTTTTGGTTCAGGCTGAAGCTTTCCTCGTTTTTACCCTTTGTTCCTAAGGTGGAGTTCTGTCCAAAATAAATGGGTTTTTTCTGCACCAAAACGAAACTTTTGGCAAACGCGAAATGCAGCAGGCAATTCGTTTTTGCAACCACCGGAACCGTAAGAATCCACATCATATGCAGGCGGCAGGCGGCAGCCAGCACACGAGTAAGGACATGGTGCCTGCACACTCCACGGATTTGTACATGCTCGACATGCGAGGAATCGAATTTTAGGTGGGAGGCTTACCTTGGGCAGACTCTACTCCTAGTATGCCAGAATTGTCCTCGATTCCTGGGCGCCCGGTTGTGTAAACTGCGGCAACTGTCAAGCGGAAAATAACAGGAAATGAATTGTAAATTAAGCGTCCTCAGTGCTGCCCACAACATGGTGAGTCGTTTTGTGGCCCAAAATCCTGTTATACAGTTAGGGGTCACCCCCGGTAATGCCATGGATATAACGTCTACTAAATATTGTACAGTTGAGTCTGCTTAGGAATTGTATCATCAACATGTTCATTTGGATAATGGAAAAAGATTATTGTTAAATTTCTAATTTATAAAGGCCAAACTTTTAGGCGTATTTTGAGCAATTTAACTAAAATCTAGGATTTTAAAATAATTATTTTGGAAATGGCTTTTATTAAATATTGCATTAAAATTTTTCATATACATATTTAAAAAATCAATAATGTCAATTTAGTTTATACATAAAAGTGATTTTATATTTTTAGACTAATGAATCTCTGGCTTAATTTTTTTTTTTTTTTTATTTATTTATTTTTATTTTTGTTTTATTTTATTATTATTATAATTTTTTTTTTTTTTACTAATTCACATATACTCAAAGTAGTTTAATCAGCAGTTGAATTAATCAACTTTTTTTTCGAGTTACCTCAATTAAACAAAATTGGTTTCCCCATTTGCCTCATGTTTGCATTAACTTTTAACTACTTTTTGCCAGTTAACCATATGTTTTTCTTTGCCTCTTCATCTTTACTTCCATCTGGTGACTTGCTCAACTCTTTGAAGTTCTGAAAGCTAAATTTATCGTCTGCTTTTAGCTTTTATCATCGAGGCTAACCATGTTTGGCTTTAACTTCACGTGAAAGTATTCGACAGTAACTGAAAAACTTGCAACGCATTTAAGATGCGCAATTCCAGTGGCGCCACGAATCTTGCTGGAATTCAATCACTTTCGCCCGCTCTCGGCCAAGAATGCTGCTGACTCTTTTTCTTTTTTAGCAAAACTCTGAACTAACTACCCTACTCTATACATATTTGCTTGCTGAAGTTGGGTTTATTTGGGTGGTTCAATGGCAACAGCTCGCCGTCATCTGCCACTGCCACTGCGACGACTCTGGCCCAGACGGGGGATGCCGCATAAAGCGATGCCCCGTCTGTCTGACTCCATCCACAGCTGGCGCACTCCCATGCCCAGCAGCTGTCGCTCCTTGTGCTCCTTTGTTGTCTCGATGGCCTTTTATGATACGTATAGTTTGGACTGCTTCTGGATGGTTTGCGTTGTTTGTTTGCTCTCAACTTGGGAGTTCATTCGAAATGCATTTTAACTGGCTTCATATACACGTATACTATACTGTTCCATTTCTCATAATTTAACGACCACAGTTGATATATTAAATTTCTTTATTTGCTTCATTTTATTACGACTGAATGGGAATCGAGAGAGCCATTTTTATATGTGAGAGAGAGTATATATTTATTTAGCTCTACGTATGTAGGTATATACACTGCGCGTCATCAGGTTAGCGCCCCCCTTTACACTCAACCTCAAAGCTAAATAAAATCTAAACCAGCAGAGCTCCATCTTTGAAATTTTTTTACATTATACTCCATTTATTTCTCTTTAAAATACAAAAAGAATGGCTACTGTAACAATAAGGATTATTTTTTAATAATTTTTTTTGTAAAATGTACAAAAAACATGTGACAAAAATTTGGTCATCAGATTAGCGCCCCCTGCGCTAAATTCAATTTATTTAAGATAATTACCAAAAATAACACCTGTATTTTAAGCTATTGTTATTTTTAAGTAATATTAGTAGTGCGTAGTGCCGTTTTTTGTTTGAAATTACTTAAAAAATTCGATTAGGAATGGAATTATAAAGTTGTTCAGTATTATTCAAGGATATGGTTGATTAAGCGTGTTCAGTACCTTCGATTAACTCTGTCTTTGTACTATAATGCTTTCCGGACTCATATACTTTCCTGACCAACCATCCCCAGACGTTTCCAA